TGGTATATTGATGAAAGAATGAAGTAATGCCACAAAATAGAGCCCAAAATATGTGTAGTCAACTGATATTTCCTCAAGGAGTCAAAGCAATTCTATGGAGAAAGGATGACTGTTGGTGTTGGAACAGACAGACACCTGTAAGACTTTCAGCCTCTCACAAATCTTACATAAAGTAAATTGTGCACATTGAAGTAAAATACAAAACTCTAAAAGAAAACATAAGAGAAAATTTGGGTTCCCTGAGATTGGCTGTGAGTTTTTAGATACAACACTAAAAATATAACCCACTAAAATATAACCCATGAATGAAAGAAATGAAAAATTAGACTTCATTAAAACTACAATTTTCTGCTCTGTGAAATAAATCGTTAACAAAGTCAATGAGGATTAGCTTGATATCTAAAAACTACCTCAGATTCATTACACCTTTGAATTTGAGTCATTGCAGACCGGGATGGTCTTACTCAATGAAATGTTTTTTAAAACTAGATTTCCCTCAGTTTTAAGAGTTTTGGGCTACAGTTTTCAAATTTTGCTCTCAGCTTTAGAAATATTTGTAAATATGTAATATCTTCTGTGGAAAATTCTGAAGACTTTTTTGAGCTGAGACAAGAATACTGGAAAGACAGGGAGGTAACCTGTGTCTTCACTCTCCACCTATAAAAAGTTGGTGAAAAATTCAACAATGTTCAAGATCTCAAGCTCCCTGAGTCCATTCTTTACATTGTTGTGACATATGCAACAGAGAAGGGGATAGGTAACAGGGGTTCGGAAGTGGTTACCATCATTAGAAAGACCACTCTAGCTGACTGAGGACATTCAATTCCTTATTTATTGAGAGACTCACTGTGCATGATCAATACTAAGTTATGTTCCTTGCCCCACAGAGCATACATTCTATTGAGCATAAAAATATACACTCAAGTGATAAAAGCACGAGACCCAATACAATGAGTGAAAACAAAGCTGAAGGTATAATGGAGTACAGACGAGAAAAGACTTGATTCCAACTAGAAGGGTGTTAAGGGAAGGGGTGGGCAGAGAAATCCATTTCTGTGACGCTATCTGTAATATGTTTTATGAATATGAATATTGATAGTATTGCATATGCAGTAAGGCTTTTACTTATTAAAATATGTATCTCTACTAATTGTTCTCTCATAATAGTGCTATAAAATCTAGAAGGCACTATTATCAACACCATTTGAAATAGACCAAAACCAAGACTCTAAAAAGTTAAATACATAACTTACACTTTTACAACTTACTGCCTAGCATCAGGTCTGAAACTTAAGCTCCAGCTACGGCAAAATAATTACTCTCCCCCCTCCTTGTGCTGAGAGAAGTTTTCCCAGGTGTGATCTGTTATGGTTTGGATATGAAGTGTCCCCCCAAAATTTGCCGTGTTAATACAAGAATATTCAGAGGCAAAAAGATTAGACTATGAGAGCTGTAACATAATCATCCTAGTTTGAATGAACTGACTGGGTGTAACTGTATGCAGGTGGGGTGTGACTAGAGGAGGTGGGGTCCACGGAGGCATTCCCTACCCCCGCCCCTGGTCACCATGAACAGACCAGCACTCCTCCAACACACCAGTGCCATGATGTTCTGCCCTACCTTGGACCAGAGTAATAAGTTTGGCCCAGCAGAGATCAACCCTCTGAAATCATGAGCCCAAAATCAACATTTCCTCTTTTAACTTGTCTCTTCCAGGTCTTTTGGTCACAGCAATGAAAAAGTTGACCAACGCAAGACTGTGTACCCTTGAGTGCGAAGGTTAGATGAGGTGCCAGATGTCCACACACCTGACTCGTTTCCCAGTGCTCATAACAAAACTGTCCTTATTGTAGCTATACTTAATAAGACCCTAATGAGTCATTTCTCTCTTCCAGCTATCACACGGAGTAAGCTGTGTTGGTGCCATTTGAAACATGAAGGCAGAAAAGCTAAGTGGGGTGTCCTGCCCAAAGCCCCTCACACATCATGGAGCAGGTGGGGTCTATAGCTCTCTGTGGCTCACTGCCCTCCACCTCTGCATGAGAGCTTGAATTCCCCTGGGCAGAAGTTCAGAGGCCGGAGGGCTATTGCAGGAAGATAATCTCAAAAACAGGTCCAAATCTGGAACTCCAGCCCTACACACTAAACAGAAAAGGTACAGAGAGCTAAAAGATGTTTCGCTAAAACGTTGACTTCAAATAATTGGATGCCAAGATGAACAAAATGGAACCGAATTGGTCAGAAGGAATTACACTCTCCTGGGGATTATTTTTAAGGAAACAGGAATTAATGATTTTAATGTCATTAAATATAATGTATCTATACGACATTTTCTTGATCCATTCATAAGTCGACGGGCAATTTTGCATCTCAGCTGCTGAGCTTATGTTGTACCAAAGAAGTAATGTCATATAATTTAGCATTATGTTAATCTTAAACGAGTTCATTTAAATGGTTATCAACGAAGCAATACGTTCTGCAGCGCTCGTGTTAAATTTCACTCAGTGGCTCCGACATGATTGATAGAATCATGACAGGGAGCTAATACAGAAAAGATGCTATCATCCTCAGGAAAATGAATGTAAAAGTCGGGGCTTGATTTCTTATCAGAGCTGACGCTGTGTGGAAGCCTCACAGCTGTTCAGCCTCTCCGTGGCTCCTTTTTCCCCCTGATATGGATCATTTCATTCTGCACTCCATTTCCGCACTAGGTGTGTGTTACAATGTCATCCATCTTGTGTATTTGTCAGTTTATAACAGCTTTGCCAAAAGCAAGTGAATTGCCTCCAGGCAGGTAATGAGGAATCTTTCCCACTTCCTGTAGATTTTTATATGTGCCTCATAGTTTCCGATACAAAACTTATTGAAGGGGAAAAAAACGTCTTCACTGTTCACAATGGTTCTTTAGCTTGCTTCTTTTCCTTGTTTTATTTATTTACCTCTCATCTTCTCCTCTTGATGATCATCATCAAATATAAATGCCAAGGTCTTTTTTCTTAAAATGCAAAATTTTGAAAAGGTTGATTTGAGCCAGTTATTCGTTCAATCTAAAGGAAGATTTTTGGAAGATTTGTCAGATGGAGCTTTCTGGTCTCTGCTCTCCTATAGAATCTTCCACTTAACACTTGTGCTTTGAACCAGAGGGATCAGTAAGGGCTGGGAACGTGGGCAGATCCTCAGTTGAGTTCCCATAAAAACAGAAGCTAAATGAGCCCCCGTTGATTAACCTAGGGGTCTCCTGGTTCAGTCCTGTCGGCCAAGTGCCCACATATCTTTGAAACACTTTGATATTTTTTTTCTGCTGTTACTAAAACACAAGGGTGCAGTGGAGATTTTGCCAAGATGAATTATGCCAGCCTGTGCCGCAGAAATACAAAGTCATCCATGAGTCTGATTAGTTTAGCAAAGGCGATTTCCTCTACTTATTACTTTTACATCCTCCTGTTTCTCTACAATCTTTGGCCAAATACGTAGGTGAGTAGATAATTGATAAGCTACTCCACATGTTCCCAGGTTCTTCCTTTCTTGAAGACTTGTTATATTTACATTTAATCAATAGAGAATCAGATTTTCTAACACTACAAGGGGGGGGATCAGCACCTAATTTCCAAAAATATATATTTGAAAAAAATAAGGTTTTTTTCAGTGCTGTGGATGGTGGAACCCAGGGCCTCATACACGCTAGGCAAGCTCTCTATCACTGAGCCACATCCACAGCCCCTGGAAAACATTTTTAAAATTCTCTTTGGCCTCTGTTACTTAAACATCTTTGAATGGAGTGGGGAAGGCCAAATATATATTTGCTTGATGTCCTGGAAATGCAGCATTTAGGTTAAATGGAGATTTGCTTCTGCCTCTGGACCTGCTTGGTCCCCAGTCCTGGGGACAGCGTCACCCCATCACGTGCACAGCACCAGCTGGAGCAAAGCTCTCCCTTCTCCCTAAGGATGACATCTCTCTGCCCCCATTTCCCTTGAGATTGGGGGGGTCACTGAAAACAAAGGAGTGTTCTAGATCTTGGATCTATCACTCTATATCTGAAGAAAAAAAAATAAACGTAAGTGATGAGTTCAGTAACTGTTAGGAAAGACACTGAGTTTTAAGAAAAATCAACATTTCTAAATGTAGCTTTAGAAAGTGACCCAGAAAATTGAGGAGGGCAGCGCAGTGTTGCTACAGCTCAGTACAAAACATTGTCTCTACCAACTCGGAACAAATGCTCGCTTTTAAATAACACCAAAGGCAAAGGCATATCTGGAGGGGACAGGGGACTCCTTCCTTGGCCTCTAACAGCTTTTAGTAAGTACACTTGGGACATTGGAGCTCTGAGCTAGAGATGCCTTCTGAGGTCTGATGCCAGGGAAATCATGGCTGTGGACTCCACAGAACAGAGAGAAAGCTGAGCCTGGATCGCACTGTTCCATGATGTCATTGTTGAAGCAAATGACAGCTACACAGAGCAGCTGCCCTGACTGACTCCCTCCTGAAGTGGGCGGGGCCAGTGGCTGGGCACTCTCCTGAAGAAAGAGGCAGGACGAACTGAAGGCAGCCCCTTGCCTACATCTCTTTGAGTTGTTTTTTTCTAGAATTGTGAACGAGGAGGCCCTTAGTAACTCAGCGTGGACCAGTTTCCTTCTTTACCTTCCAACTCAGGCCCATGGACCCTCTTTGGAAATTCCCACCAAAAATCCCTGGCCTTTCCCAGCTACCCAGGGGGATGACTCAGGCAGGGGAGGAGAGCAGACCCTCACCCTTAACCTTTCCCCCTGGGGAGGGGTGAGGAGAACTGAGGCCTACTCGTGGGTGGGGAAGGCCAGAATGCCCCTCTCTCTTGCAGCAGAAAAGGAAGAAGAGGCCTTCAGGGTGGGGATATAATGAAAGAAGAATTTTGTCCTAGAAACCAAGGCTGCAACCAAGTGATTTGTGAGCCACCGTCCTCAATTCTGGCTATAAAGTAGAAAAATTGGTACACTACAGATACATTTGGGGTTAAGCAGGTGTCTGATGCTTAATCACCATTTATTATATCATTTCAATGGGGAAATGTGCTCCAGATTTTAGTTTTAAAACCTGTAATAAATCAGGGACTTCTGCACTGGGAGAAGTGGCACTATAAAAATATCAACAAGCCCCGCTATTTATCAGTCACACATTGTGAGGTCTCACTCCGGTAAAGAAGCCAGTTAGGCATAAATCTGAAGTCACATCCAGCTGGTGGAGAGCTCATTACTCCTCGGTATGTCATCACTCTTTGGAGTATTATTACTGTTTGTCTGACATATTGTTATTTAGCTTTTCCCACACAGGGTTCATCTGCTCCTCCTCATCGTGAGGACATGAAGCCATCGGACTGTGGCTTCTCTCCTCCGAGAGCCACACAGCTGTTAGGATGGTCCTTGGGTCCTATCTTTCCACTTATGGATCCATATTTTTCCTTGAAGACTTCAACCAGTTCTTGTTATGTGTAGTGCAGAAACGTTACGGGCAGCTGTTTCCCTTCGGGGCTGTCAAGGGTCCGGGCACAGGCATCCCTTCCTAGGACATAAGGGGGCAGGCAGGCCAGGATTGAGTGGCTTCCAGATGCAGTGTAGGCCGACGAAGCCCTCCCAGACCCAGGTAATCCCAGCTCCAGAACCAGGCACCTGCCGTGAACTTGGAGCCAATTCAGAACCAACCCACACAGACGCCAACCCAGGTCCTGAGAACAACCAGGGCAGCACAAAATGACCAAGAAACCAGTGGCTTCTGCCTGAGTTCGAAAGTTCTGGCCATCAACAGGGGTGATCTGGACAGATCCCTGAGGGAAGAGTGTGCCAGAACTTCACTGGAGCCACACAGCAGTGCTGAGGGTTCTTTGGGGGCCCAAGGAGTGGGGAGCCGTCTAGAGGGGCTGGTACAGCAAGAATCTGGGATCAGTGGTGGTGACCGGGGGATGGACAGTATTTGAGGATCTGGGCAGGAGTCAGTGCAGGAATCCCCAGGCATCCTACACGAGGTCTGTGTGAACACGCGTGTTTCCAAAATCAGTGTCAGGAGAACATTCTCTCCAGAGGGAGAACAGTAGTGGTGTCCTGTGTCCCCTCATCCATTCTGCATCACTGATGCCCAGAGCCCTCTGAGGCACCTTCGTCGTGAATGCCCACCTCGTCGTCAGACAGAACTGCATGGTTTTCTACCCTGATTTTCACCTGCAGGGCTCTCAGCCCCTGCTCCTGATAGATAGTAAGATAAAAAAAAAAAAAATGCCTGTCTAATTAGATGTTGCTAGTCCAGCAATGATTCTCAACCCTGGCTGCACACTGGGAACACTTCAAGAGCTTAAAAAAAAAATCCCCTTTACGAGGCTGCACAAATTAAATCAGAATGTCTGGTGTCAGACACCCAAACTCCATTTTTTTTCAATGGTCTCAAAAAATGCATGCAGGTTTGACGTATTTAGTAAATAAAAATACAGAAGGTCCAGTTAAATTCAAATTTCAGATAAGTAAATCAAGCCATTTTAATTTCTGATTTTATTTTTTAAAAAATATTTTAGTTGTCCATGGACTTTATTTTATTCATTTATATGTGGTGCTGAGACTCGAACCCAGTGCCTCACACATCCTAGGCAAACGCTCTATCACTGAGCCACAACCCCAGCCCCTTGATTTACTTACAAGGTTATTGTCATGGTTCGGATCTGGGCTGTCCCTGAAAGTCCCCTGTGATGAAGGTTGAGTCCCCAGTGCAGCCGTTCTCAGAGGTGGGGCTCTTGGACAGAGACTGGATCACGAGGGCTCTGACTCTCTGTGGATTCACTCACAGATGGATTTATAATTTGAAGGCAGTCCTGGGAGCTGGTGAAAACTGTGAGGTCTTGCTGGAGGAAGTAGGTCACTGGGGGCAGGCCCTGGCAGGTCACATCCTGTTCCTGGCCCTTTCCTCCCTCTCCACTCTGCTTCCCAGCCTCCTTGAGGTAAGCAGGTCTGCCCCACCATGTCCTCTGCCATGATGCTGGGCCTCACCACAGGTCCACAGCCATGGAGTCAGCTGACCATGAACTAAAATCATGAGCCAAAATCAACCTTTTCTCCTTTAGTTGACTTTCTCAGGTATTTTGTCACAGCAACAGAAAACTAACAATTACAGACATTTAAAGTAATTTTGTATCTCAATACTTTAAATCCAATACTTGTTTCTCATTGGTTCTACTTAGAAATTAACAACAACACAACAAAATGACTATTACTTTTAAAAAGAACTAAAGATGCCGTATTTAAGTTCCTAGTGTGGGTTGTTTGAATGCCTTCATGAAATCAGCAGAAATCCTTGTGCAAAGTATTCTCTCTGTTAACAACAACAAGGAATAGAAAAGGAGAAAATCAGTTATTTTAAATAAGCAGTTTTTTTAAAGTATGCCCTGTGTACTACTTGCTTTTTTCCTCGTGTTTGCATGTTCTTCTCACAACTGGACTATATTAACATGTTGAGGGAAGAAGCTCAGAGAAGTATGTCCTATGCACTACCTGGAATGCACTTACACTAAAGAAAAAAAAATAACTTGTGGTTTACCTGAAATCCAAATGTCCATGGGAATCCAGTATTTTACCTGTGAGCCCTTGATGAGCAGGCAAATACAAAAACAGCTGGAAAGGAGGGGAGAGAACGAGAGGAGAAATTGGAGGGAGGAAGCTCTCAAGCAGTACTCAAGAAGCCTTGGATCTGTGATTGCTTCTTCCCCGTGCTTTGCCAAGCAACCCCTGAGAATATCTAGGGATTTCAAGTGATAATGTACATTTTTTTAACTTCCTCATAAAATGCTTCATAGTCTTGAATATTTCACTGAATCAAAATTGGTTGATTTGTAGAGTTAATAGCACAACTAGGACATAGTTTAATGTCAATATCCAGGAATAAAACATCAGCCTCTTTGGGGGCTCTGATGCTGTGCAGGGCAGAAGCAGCCAAGAGCAAAGGCAACCCCAGGGACTCTCAATGCGTCTCTGATATCTGACATGCCTTACAAGCTGCAGGAATGCCCATGTGTTGTCTCCCCTTTAAACGCATGAAACATTGGCTTAGTGTTTCGTCTGTGGGTTTGGAGCAGCTGTAGAGATTTCAGGTAAATCTCTTACAACTCTAGAGAAGATGATAAATAGCGAGACCAAGCTACAATTCAACCTAAAAAAAAAAAAATCTACCCAGTAAGCTAAAGTAGAAGACTGATATAAATGAATAAATAGATAAATGGGAAGAACAGGCTAATCTCTCATGCAGAAGACTTCCTAATTTATGTAGCTATTCCAACCTCAAGAAGGATAAGCACAAGGGCTAGGGGTGTGGCTCAGTGGTAGAGCACTTGCCTGGCAGGCATGAGGTCCTGGGTTCAATCCCCAGCCCAGGAAAAGGAGGAGGAGGAGGAGGAAGAGAAAGGACAACTCCATACTTCCTTACATGTGGACTGTACACAGAAACTTCCTTCCCAAGTGTTCAGTACAGAAAGAAGGGAAAACAGTTACTTCACAGTGAGGAACTTGTCACCGTCACCTAGCCAGGTGACCCAGGTGAATCTCAGTGAGGAGTCACACTGAGAGTGTGCACTTAAAAATGATATGATCTGAATGGCACTCACCTATGGGTTTTTCCCCCTAAGGCATAAACCTAGTCTAATCATAAGGAAAAACAGACAAAGTCTAATAGAAAGGTGTCTTACAGCACACCTGACCAGCACTCCTTAAAACCATCAAGGAGTCTGAAAAAGAGTCACAGTGGAGAGGGGTCACAAAGGCACCTGAGCACTGAATGTAAGGTGGTGTCCAGAGTGGATCCTGAAACAGAAGGACACTAGGTACAAGCTTTAAAAAATATTCTGAATAAAGTATGGACTTTAGTGCATAATGGTATGTCAGGATGTCAATGCTGGTAGCTAATTCTGACCCATGTGCCACATGTTGTGAATAATCAGGAAAACTAGGTGCAAGCTAGCTGGGAAACTCTACTCTCTTGATGATTATTCTGTAAAATTAAATGATTCTAAAATTAAAAGTGTGATTTAGAAGATCTCTTCCTCACACAGCATATGCCCGCCAGCTGCACTTCTCCCAGTCCACCGGCTCCTGTACTCAGCATCCCCAGAATAAATCACCCGTATCTGCGTCACTGTGGAACAGTTACCCACACAGAGTAAACGGCATGATGGGGAGGGGAGGGAGGTCAAGTGCACACAGCACACGGGAAGGACGAGGTCAAGATTATGACAAACGCGCATCCGTGGGAATACGGAGAGAAAGAGCGATTCCTGTAGTTGGGTCAGGCAGGAGCCCATGGAGGAGGAGACCAGCACTTCCACCAAACCTGGAAAAATTGGGGTATTCCTGCAGGTGGAGTTGGCCATGGGAACATCATTCAACTTAACTTAGGAAGTAACTGAAAAGACAAGAGGTATTACATATGAGTAAGTCCTCAAACTGGGTGAAGATAAGGGCTGCCTTGGAATACTTGCAGGATGCTCAAATGGAAGAGGAAGGCACCTTTGAGGCAGTGTATTACAGAACCACAGAACGGACCAGAGAATAATCCCAGACGGCAGATTTGAGCCCCACAAAAGAAAGGCCTTTCTAACAATTTAGCATCAACCAAATTTTGCTTGAAAAGAAAACAGACACCTTCTCCTTGAAAAATATCAAGTCTCCAATAGACCAATAAAAATATAGGGTGTCCATAGTAAACTAGAGATCTCACTCCATCCACATACTATTTAAAGACATGGCGAATAAATCAAAATTTTAAATATGTTTTAGTGAATAAGTTGGTCATAAGATATTAAATATTAAATATCCCATCCTAGCCTATAAAACCAACACAGGATGGGTGTCCCTCCAATGAGCAAGTAATACATATGGAAAAGAAATCCAAGCATAAGTTATTTAGATAAGCACCACTCCATTGTGAAGTCTTATAAAAGAATAACGAGAAGGAAACGGAAGTTGGATGAATAACAACCCAACAGCCCACTGCTTTGATGACAAACTCAATAAAAGTGTGGCATGTAGTGATATGAGAGCCCCAAGAGCCAGCCTGACAGGGCAATTTAACACCCAGGTACACCCGCACATTCTACAGAGATCTTGGGGAACAATAGCTCATTGTCATCCAGGTAAGCACCATCAACAGGTACATTTAATGAGGATGACAAAATCATTGATATTGAGGCAAAATATATCACATCTTATCCACTGTGTCACAGTCAGGCTGAAATATCTTCTCAGCACAGACCTTGACACTATTCCTTGTACAAAAGGCACTAACTCATTTTTCCAATGAATTAATGCAGAATCCCTCTCCCAGGAAAAAAGAAAAGCATAAATCAGCTGGCTTTTATATCCAACTTATTCATCTTTTGCCTTTCTAACAAAAGACAAAGGGAAGGAGCTGGACACTGTTCAGCAAGTAACTTTATTGGCCCTTTAAGTCTGGGGGCAGTTTCATGAAGCAATCCCAAGGAGCAGGTGAACAGAAATGGAGGTCTGGTTTGGTGTGTTAGACAACAAGATGTAATTGCTTGTTAAAAATGTTGAAGGAAGGAAACATAATTCTAAGATGACCTAGGTCCATGTAAATGGAGGAAAATTAGCTTATACCAGTGGCTCTCAATGGGGAACAGTGTTCCCTCCCAGGGAACATTTAGCAATGGTTGGGTTGTCACAACTTGAGGGAGGAGTGTTACTCCTGACCTCCACAGAGCAGATGCAAAACATCCTCTGACACACATACACTGACCACATTTGCCCAATCCAAAGTTATCAATGGTGCTAAGGCTGGGGAGCCTCTTCATAGGAAATCTCTGTGGCTTGTTCCTTATTACAACTTCTGAAAACTCAAACACTAACACATCTTTACTGACCCCCTACCACTAGCAAGTGGCACACTAGGCAGCTGTTCATTATCACACTGAGTGTTCCCTCAGGCCTCCCTCAAGTGTGGGGAAACTCTGCTGATAGCAATTTTGATTCCCTGCAGCTGTAGACCAACTTCTCCATCCAGCAGTAGCTCACCCACACGCCTGGATCATGTCTCTCCAAGTGTGACTTGACTCAGAGGCCCTCCACCTACCCCTACCTCTACCCCCACATAGTTCTTCCACTTGCCTCATCCTGGGCCCTTGGGCATGACCAGACGGGGGTTTCCACATAGGAAAATTAGTTTAGGAACACTGGAAAAGGAGTCAGTAAATTGGTTCCTGTTTGCAGAAGGGAATTCACTTGGGTCAAGTACTAGAAGACAAGGCAAGAAAATGAATTGCAAATGCTAGACCAAGAAGTTCCTGGTGTATCAGGTAAACACTGGGAAGTCATGAGTCATTTCTATTTGGGGAGATGGTACGGAGAAAAAAATAATAATTTCACAAGAGTAAGTGTCTTGGTCCGTTTTCTGTTGCTATAACAGAATACCTGAGTCTGGGTAATTCATCAAGGAAAATAGATTCAGCACTTGGTTCTAAAGGCTGCAAGTCTATGATGGGGCAAGAAGTTTGGAAAAGGCCTTGTGCTGATGACAGAAAGGCAGAAGAGCAGGTGGACACAGAAGAAAGAGACACACTCTATCACAACCTGCTCTCGTAGCAACCGATGGAATCCCGTGGAAACTGACCCACACAGGAGAGAACGGCATTCCCCTCCCCTTCATGATCTCATGCCCTCTCGGAAGACCCACCTCCCAACACCACCACGATCAAATTCCAACATGAGTTTGTGGGGATAAACGTGTTCAAACCTTGAGGGCAAGGTGGATCTAACCTTCTTTGGGTTACACTTCCCTCTCCCCACCATCCCCATTAACAAACAAATATTCAAAGGGAGAAATATATGTCTCTCCTTCAGTAACACTGAAACCTAAAAATTGTAAAGTTAAAAAAGAACAGGAAGTGATTCTTTTTTTCCTGTGCAGATGCACGGGAATTCATTAAAACAAATATATTTCTCCTCATTGTAGTTCACCATCAGCAGAATAACTAAATAAGAAAATTGCCTTTGTTTCCTTCCAATTTAATAGAACTGCAATTAGGAAACTCAAGATGTAAAACAAAGCCACCAGATTTGTGCCAATTAAATCACTCATGGTGCAAACGAAATAACCTCACCTCGGGGAACAAACAGTCATGGTGCCCTGGTGATAGAAAAAAACAGTTTTTTTCCCCAACTGGATGTGCAGTTTTCATTTTTAGCCAATATTAGCCACATCTCTAATTTCTTCCTCTATAATAATCATTTAATTTGATCAAAATCTATTTATTTTAAATTGTTATTATAATATCTGAATGTTGATATCTATGACATGGATCAATTGTGATAAGAAAAAAGTTAATAATACACACAATTTAAACAGTATGAAATCATTTTAAGATGAAGGAAGATCCAAGCAAGCTAAAGGTTTTGATTGGTCTTAAAAAACTCCATCAACCAGTTGTCCAACCATTTCTTAGTTTTATAATACATTGATTTCTACATGGAAAACAAATCCTGAAATTGTAGTATCCTCAACATAATGATTCAACAATAATCTGGTGAGAGATGCAATTCGGGGTCTTAAAAGAGTGAGCAGACCAGGGGCTACCAACATCATGTGGACACTCATTCCACCAGGGCACCCATCATCCTGGGCTGTCCACACACAGGGAGAGGAAACCCGATTACCCGGTGAGTCCTGGAAGTGGAGGCCAGGCAGGGATCTCACATACTAAACAAGGAAGGCGCCTCTCTATCTTACATCCACTTGACGTGCACAAGTACTGTGTAGCCATCTACTTTTCCCTCAAGTTGGAAACTTCTCAAGTCTATGTAGCCCACTTCCAGAGTATTTGCTGAACTGATCTCAATTTCAACCAAAAGCTAATCTTTTTTTTGATAATAATTTTTTAGTTGTAGTTGGACACAACACCTTTATTTATTTTTATGTGGTGCTGAGGACCAAACCCAGAGCCTTCCACATATGAGGTGAGCGCTCTACCGCTGAGCTACAACCCCAGCCCCCAAAGCTAATCTTTAAGTAGAAAAGATTCTCTGTAATAAGCATAATCTCTAGAAACAAAGCTGAAACCACAAGCCAGAAACTTATGTTGGAGGGTAGTTATGATTTCTCCCTCTCAAGCTTGTGCCAGAAAACTCATTTCTTTAAAATTTTAGTTGAAATTATTTTAAAAATGCCCACAAGTACTCTTCTTTCAAATTTAACTCCAGAGGAACCTACTTATGTTTTTCTTTGGCCACACATTGGCACCATTATTTTACTCAAGGGAGGAGAGTAGAGATTTCTGCCTTCTTCTCTCCTCCTCTTCCTCAGTCTAGCTGACATGAGGTGATGGGAACTTGAAGTGGGAAATGGAAGGGAACAGATGGATGGGGAGTCCCATGAATCCAGGTGAGACCCAGTAACGAGCAGAGTTTTAAAGTTCCCACCAAATCAGCTTTTGCTCAGCATTTTCAAAACCAAAATGAAGATAACCTGTGAGAAGGTACTTATGCCTGGTGGGCAGAGTGAGTCCCACTATTGAGGAGGTGGCTTCAGACTTTTAGATGTGGAAGGGCTGAGATGTTCTAAACCTGAATTCAGAACTCATGATCTGAAAGAATCAAGTATAGATATGAGACTCTGGTTCTTTCCTATGAGTATTCTCAAGTCTGTAAATACATATATCTTATAAATACATAAATCTTGGCCAAAATGAAAAAGTCTCCCAGCACCCTAGGACTCTTCTAGCTTCTCTCTTCTGTCATCTACCTATAAACTTTCTAAAGAGCTGTCTACTTCAGAGGTCTACATTTTCCCTAAAAGAATTTCCAGCAGCCATGATTATGATCATATGCTAAACAATTAAGTCCCCATTTTCAATTCTGCCAAGATTCCAATGAAATTAACACAGGTGCATTAGAATAGATTAGAAATCATAACCTATGACTTATATATTATTATTATATTAAGTAATATTATTATAATCACTGTATCATAATAAAATTATTAGTATTGTTATATAATTATGTTTTATATTGTGGACTACATGTAAGTTTTTATAGGTATTCCACATCTCGGTCAATGAAATAAAATGGATTAAGTTGATGTCCAAATATTTTCATCACAAATTGAAATAGTTGTCCAAAAATATAATTTCTCCTGTGTTGTAATGGTTAATTTGAATTGTCAACTTGATTGGATGAAGAGATGTCAATGATTAAGAGGCTTCTGGGTGTGTCCATGGGGGTGTTTCTAGGAATGATTGGCATGTGGGATAGCCAACTGAAGTGGAGACCCGCCCTAAGGGTAGGAAGCACCATCCAATAGGATGGTGGCTTGGATGGAATAAAAGTTGGAAGAACAAGGAAGCAGCAGATACAAGCTGGATTCTTGAATGGGTTCTTGATTGCTGCTGTGATCATCTGAGGATGTTGGATTCTGGCTTCTTTATTCTTCCAAAGCTGATTCTGCCAATGATTCTCCAGAAGCCTTTGGTCTCAGACTAGGGTAGCACTGTTGATCCCTCTTGTTCTGGGGCTTCAGCCTCTTGGACTGCGCAGCTACCGGTTCCTCCAGCTCTCCAGCCTGCAGACGGCCACTGTGGACTATCCGGCTTCTGGTCGCATAGGCCAACCTAGTAAATTCTCCATTTATAATTGTACTTCCTGTTGATTCTGTTCCTCTAGAGAACCCTGACTGATACCGGTGTCATAAATATTAACATTTAGAAATAAAATTATTATGTTACTCTTAAATGTATCCAATCAAATACAAATACCAAACAGAATTCATATCTACCCTCCTCCATTTAAAAAGAGGCGTGAACAAGTTCTCTGACAACTGAAACACTGACTCTAGTCATTCTCTGAAATTGTACTTCATTCCACTTCCTGCATGACATTTAACATTAATTTAATTTGCTTCATGCTTGAAAGGCTTTTATTTACAGCCCTACCATACTTTCCTGCAACAAAACACAAGATGCATAAGTTGAAATTAATTGATTTTATTTTCTGGAACCAGGAAGTTCTAAGTGTTAAAATTTCTTCTTCTGACCTCCATTACAATTACATGTATTCTTAGACCATAATTAGTTGGTCTGAACAACACACATATAGTCTACATTTTGAAAAGGGATCTTTAAATGTAAAAAGTATTTATTGGAAATGTACCTTATAAGGAAGCGAATGGTGACTGACCAAAGGATTTGTTCGGCCGCCCCTTGAGTGGCCAGGAAGACATTGTAGGCTGGGACCAGGGTCCACAGGAAGATTCTGGATGGGTGAGAGGGATGCCTTTCACCTATGAAGAAGGTGAGGGTGATTGTGAAAGTGGAGCAGAAAAGGAAAACCACTAAACAGAAGTACTTTCTCTTGCAGGTAAATATCAAGACATCGGTTTTAGAACCTGCACAAGTCGATCTCCTTAAAGTTATCTACTTCTGCGTACCTTCTAAAAAGTCTTTGCATACACTGGGGTAGGGGGTGCATACCCCAGTTTTAGGACCACTGGTCTAGACCAAGGGGACTCCATGGGAACCAGATTATCAATCCAACATGTCACAGCAACAACGTGAGAGAACTTCTATTTGAATGTATTTTTATTAAAAACAAGAAAGTAATTTTCTTTACTACTATTTAATACATGGGTTGACACTTGCCTCAAGCATCACAAGGACCTTGGGTTTATAGAGAGAAGAGTAGGGTTCCCATCACTTGTTCTCTTCAGCATTTCAACATAGTTTGCCTCTGACCAGTTAAGGGGCTTCATACACCTCATCATTCACTTTTAACCAGAAGAATTCACATTTAAAAAATAAACTTTAAAAGATACTTGAGGCTGAGAACAGTCATGCATGCCAGCAGCTTAAGAGGCTGAGGCAAGAGAATCGCGATTTTGAGACCAGCCTCAGCAACTTAGTGAGGTCCTGAGCAACTTTGCAAGACCCTGTCTCAAAATAAAACATAAAAAGGGCTGTGGATGTGGCCCAGTGGTTAGGCACCCCTGGGTTCAATGCCAAGAAAGAAGAAGAAGATATCTGAAAAGAAATCATAGATTGAAGATAATTCTAGAAGGCAAGCATGTGCCACTAACAAGAGGAGCACTAGCGTTTCAGTGCCTTTGAAACCCCAAAACTATGCCCAGCCCACCTCCCCTCCACCTGCTCCTTATGAGCTGGTCTTGCCAGACTAACTGGAAAGCATCCTGATTCCCACTTCAAGTCCCCACCAGCCAGCCCCCACCCCCATTCCTCACAGATTCTGAATTCAGACTCATTGTCACTCCTCAGTTCAACTGCAGCCTCCCTGGCTCCCAGGCACAGAAAACAGCCCTTCATATCTAACCACGTATTCAGGGGCCTCTGAAAGTGGCTCACAGGCTGTTCCCATAAGTCGGGCCATTGAGCTGCCTAGAAGTCACAGTGCTTGACCCAGGTGCCTGGCCCGCCCCCGTGATGGACAGGCGTTTTGACCTTTCTCCTTGGCAAGCCTCCCACTCCCACCCAAAGCTCAGTCTCAGTTCGTGATTTCACTGAAGTCATCAGAAGAGAAGGGGTCCACCTTCCCACCACCCACCATCACCCCACATGCTGGGTTCCCACCGGCTCCTGCAGGTGGCTCTCCACACAGCATCTGGGGCCAGTCCTCCCCTGGGCTCTTCATCCCTTCCTTTCTTGCCTATCAAGTGTATCATTCCAGCAATTCCCCCGCCCGTACACACACACCTGCACACACACCTGCATGCACACACGCATGCACAGTCATTCTCATCTACAGAGAGAATGATCTCTCCCATCTTTCTTTGAGAAGTATCTCTGCACTTGGAATGGATGCTGTTTATTGTCTTCCTGACCCTCTACCCTTACCTCTTCTGCCTTGATTTTGTCCCCCACCCACCCTTAACATTCCAGAAGTGTCAATAAGTTAACACTCCCCGAAATAGCCTCCCACCAACAGCAGACAAGAGTTGTCACATGAACACCACGTCCCTGTCACCACCCTCCAGGTGGGATCATTCTGGTGAGTGTGCGTCCCTTTCCCCAAGCTTCTCCAAAGTACTGAGTTCCAGCAGCCATGAGATGTGCTGGGTACGTCCTCCTCAGGAAGCCCATCCGCTTCCCTCTCAATATCCCCTCCCCTGTCAAGGGTCCCCAAACACCCCAGATAAACCACTTCAGCTGGACTCCTTACCTCAAGGCCTCTGGGGGACCCCAAACAAAGATCGGACCCCCCTTCCCCTCCAGATCTGGTTCCTATTTTCTGTTCCCCTTTAACCAAAACTCCTCGGAAGCATCATCTCCAGCTGCTGCCCACAGTCCCTCTCCTCCCACTCTCTGAGAGCCCTCTGAGCGGGCCATCACTCCACACTGAAATGGGTCATGTCGAGGCCACAGTGGCCTCTAGGTTGGCAATCCGGTGGCCCAATCTCAGGCCAATCAGCAGCATACGACTCAGTTGATGGTCGTCTTCTCAGGACATTCTGTTCACTTGGCTCCCTGGATGCCACAAATCCTGGTTGGCCGCACCTTCTCCGTCCCTTTTGCTGGGCTCCTCACCTCCCTGGCCTCTCTGCCATGGGATCCACCAGGTCATTGCTTAGTCCTCTTCCTCTGTCTAACATGTAGTGGATCTCATCTAGCTTAAGTCTTCATATCCTCAACACTGAGGATTCCCAAAACGTATCTTCCTGACACAAGATTCCTACCCAACATCGCCTTCGGGAGGCCTGATGGATACACCAGACCTAACATCCAGACAGTGAGCTCTTCACCGCCAAGGCCACCTGCAGGTTTTCCTCTTGGTTAAGGGCACTCCTTCCTTGCCACCACTCATGCCCAAAGCCTTGGACTCAGCCTTAGACGGCTCTTCCTGTAGGCAGTAAATTTCAACCAGTCCTTCAGAATACACATAGAAGGTGAAGGTGACCACTTCCACCCACCATTATTTACTGCCTGGATTACCACACCAATCTCCTAACAGATTTCTCTGCTTCCCCCGGGGTTCGCCCAAAGTCTAGTCTCAACCCAGAAACCAGATGGATCTATTCAAAGTCAGATCAGATCACCTCACTCTGGGGCTTGAAACCTTCCAATAAGGACTCCTCCTCTCTCAGAGCAGCAGCCAACTGTTATGCCAGATCCGTGGGACCCCAATAGACCTCCAGAAGCTGAATCCGATGCAATCACACAAGAGTCTTTATTGCCAGCTCGAGCCTGGACTCACAGCCGTTCCCCACGCAGCGGTCCCAGGGAGTGAGTCCCGGTCCTTTGTTCAGTGAGATTTTATAGGTTTTGGGGGGATACTGTATGCATCACAACATCACACAGCAAATCATTCCACACCGCGGGAAAATCAAACAACAACTCTTAACATTGATTAGCACATTCAATGACGGGAACAATTTGGGTAGGGGTGATTGGTTAATACAAGAGAAGGGTTCGTTTGAACTGATGGGTTTAGGCCATGAAGGGTGTACGTGCTAGACTACATGGCTTCTCAACATGTTATCAACCACCATAAACTACTTGGGGGTCATCTGGCATCCCAGGTATTTTCCCTGTCTCATGCTGATTGGAGGTTGCTAGGGGGGTTGAGGTTGCTAGGGGGTTGCTATGGGTCCTCACCTAGGCTAACTGATCAGGGACACCTGGCTCCACAGACCTCTCCTGTTATTTACAGACAAACAACTCAGCAGGGTGGGTATGTGCTTAGGAGTGCTCTGTGGGTTTTTCCAAGGACAAGGGTCACGCCCCCTTCCTTGGACAGGCTTTGCTCTGAGGTAGAGGCTGATTTCTCAAAAATGGAGTCACATTAGTTTCTCACCAACATCTTCCGATGATGGCCTTGGAGGCCTGCACAGCTGGGCCTGAGATCACCTCTCCAGTTCACTCTCCTCCATCCACTCTGACCCCACTTTCACCGACCTGAACATGGCAGCCTGCTCCTGTCTAAGGGTCTGCATTGGCTGTCCTCTCTGCCTGGGATGCTCTCTGTTGGATTCTGCCTTTATTATGCTACAATATTTACTTATTCTACTGTTAGCAATCTGTCTGTCCTAGAATGTTGGCCTGTTTTCCTAGGTGCTGGAGGAGGGTGCTGGATACAGCTGATTTTCCATAATGAGAATAGGGAATGAATGAATTTCTCACCCCTTTTATGCCACGCATCCTAACTCTGCCTCACACGTGCCCTCAACCTTCTCAGACTCTTGCCTTTGCACTTAGGAGTTTTGTCCTTGCTGAAACCAAAACTATCCATTAAGAATCTACTCAAATGTCACCTTCTGCTTGAAGCCCGAACAGAAATTCCCTCTCCCTCCTTTGGTTTCCAAGGCCCCTTGACTTTGCTTCTCTGTTACACCTAATGATTATTTGTCTCAGTCCTCACAATTTATGAACTCCCTAAGAGCTTGTTGGGTGTGTGTGTGTGTGTGTGTGTGTGTGTGTCTGTGTGTGTGTGTTTATTTGTCTCATTTGGTCCTTCGCACCACCCCTAGCACAGGGTTCTGGTATCTAGCAGTCATTAAAAGATGTTGGGATATATACCCAGGAGTGGGATTGCTGGACACATGGTAGTTATATTTTAGTATTTTGAGAAACCTTCATTATTGTTTTCTGTAATGGCTGTGCTGATTTACATTCCCATCAACAGTGTGCAAGAATACCCTTTTCTCTGACATCCCCCAGGGCACCAAGGAGAGACCCCGTGAGGCCTCCTGTCACTACAGGGTGACGCCTTGAATTGAAACAGTTGTTACATGTGTTTCTATTTTTATGTTTTTAAAATGCCATGAACATTATTTTAATTACAAAATCATAATCATATCTATTTATGAGATACAATGTCTTATTTTGATATATGCATACAATACAGAATGATTGGATCAAGCTAATTAATTTGCCTATCCATCACCTTGCTTGCTTATTGATTGATTGATTGATTGCTTTTGCAGTGAGACATGTGAAACTTTCTCCCTTAGTTCTCTTGAAATACACAATGCATTGCTGTTGACACAATGCACTCTGTTGTGCAATAGATCTCACAACTTTTTCCTCCTGTCTCAATGAAATGTTTCCCCCTAGGACCCACGTGGAACTTGAAAAAGTCGAGGTCATACTAATGGAGCGTGGACTGATGATCAGCAGAGCCCAGAGTAGAACAGAGATAGAGAAGGCTGATTCTTGAGTCCCTTTGTCTCCTTGGACCTCCAGCAGTGCCTCTCACAGGGTTTTGACAAGTGTTTGTGGACGCACATTCTGTAGGAATAATTGTATAATCGTGTCCCTGAGAGACAGTGCCC